TACAATGAAGTTGATGCAAGAAGAGGTAAAAGGTTGTGCTAGTCTTATTAGAATTTTCAGTGCCGAACTTTATTTTTGCACTCGACTTGTTTCTGCTATTTTAACAAAACTAGACTGCCAATGAATATATCTCCAAGAAAACCAAGGCCCGTGAACATGGTTATGTGGGGGAGTATTTGCTAATTTGTTATAAAACTTGAGTGGCATGCAGACTTTTGGACCGATCATGCCGATAATAAATTCAGCACAGATGAAGAATTGTCGAGCTTGCAAATGATTCAAGATATGGGCTCAGCTGTGCTGTATTTTCGGGCAGTCAAAGGCGTGCAAAGGAGATAGCTTCCCAAATACAATGCGGAGTTGCTGCAATTAATGACTTTGCAATCAAATTATATGTGCCAGGTACCTCTTTTTTCCTTCTATTCGTATACGAGGTGTCACCATTTGTGTTTGCTTGAGTTGGAATCCATCATTCTTCGATCCCTATTAGAACAGTTCCAACTGTGGAAATTCTCTTTTTTTTATTTTTAATCATACTGAACTCAAGATGGTATTGCGCTCTTGCAGTCCCTACCTTTTGGTGGTGTAAAATAGTGGGTTCGGGCGGTTTGCTGGTGTTGAGGGATTGAGAGCTTGCTGTCTGGTAAAGTCAGTCGTCGAGGATAGATGGTGGCCTTATATAAACCAAGATACCAAAGCCTATTCGGTCAGCCTTGCATCCCTAACTATTTGAACTGAACTTGCTGAATTGTTTTCGAGCCGAACCATAGCAATTTACGAAGAACAAAGTGTCTTGTTTACGCGACTAATCATCTTTCTCTTTCTTTTTATATGCCGAACACAATAGTATCCCGTTGCTGAAAATGGGTTTGAGTTTCAAGAATCGCTGGTGGAGTGTCTTTATGGCTTGAACATTTGGGATCGTCTTCGAGCTTTGGTCATGTTCTAAAGATCGTTTCGGAGCAAAACCCTGTTGCCAGTAGCAAGAGAAATGATTGAGTTCCACATCCCCACATGCAACTAGTTAGTTCTACTCTCTCAAGCATTTATATTTCAGTAATCTAAATCAGAAAACCCAATTACCTTTTTCTAAAGCCTTAAAATGTTGTCTTTTTTTGGCCCAAATTGACGAGGATATTCAATCTACTATTAATAGATATTCCACCCCAAATCTCCATTAATAATCTTTGGGTTTATCCGATCAATATGTTACGCCTTTGAGCTTTTTAAAATAGAATGACGTAAAAATGTGAGTTAATACAAGATGAAATATGTATGTTCGCTCCAACTATTTCGTATATTTAAATATGAAAATAAATATTTATTAAGCATGAATATACTTATTACTTTTTCATATTTGATGTTCAGACGAATATGCAAAAATATGGAATGTGTACATCTTCAATTCTTAAATGCCAAGTTGGAAGATTAAAGGTTCTGTGTTTTCAAATTTTCTTAAATTCAGTTAGAAAAAACATTCAAATTCAGTTCCCGTTGATAATCAAATTTATTGCAAATATTTTAATTATTTTATGTTACGTGAAATAAAACTATAATATTATAAACATCCAATATTAGGAGTAAAATATAGCATATTTTAAATGTCATAGGACCACTTGATTCTAATAAAATATACAGATAATGACCTCGGCAATGCTGTTGTCGGTTAACAAGTCTCTTTGTCCAAAGCATGTGGTTGATGTTATGTCTCTGCTTTGTTTTTTTAATCAAATCTATAGTCAAATAAACAGCTCTCCTAACCTTGTTTTGGTGGAAAACAAATATTTTAATAATTTGTATTAATAGTATATTGTTGTTCTGTCTTCTTACTCTTATCTTGCAGCCAAATAAACCGATGCCATGAGATTCCTCATGTTTGCACCAATTTTTTTATGAATAGTTGAACTAGATGCAATCTAATATTTTTATTCATGTTTCTTTCTTATTAATCTCACACAACGAATATCTTTTCAAAATTTTTTCTATCATTAATTAATTGCAAGTGGTAATGTACAGTAATTAACTACCTAATCACCATGAAAGTGTTCATGTATAATTTTTTTTTTATAACGTAGGACCTCCCAAGACCAAACTGAATGAAAGTGTTCATTCATAATTCTACTAGTTTCTACATGTTTTTTTTTCTTCTTTAATAAAAATTAGAGTTAGAAAACTTAAATATGATGCGTAATAATTTATTATATTTGAAGCTTGAATAAAAATAAATGTAAAGATAATGATAATAAGAAACAGAAATTAAAAGAAAAATTAGAACCTTAAATTATAAGACATAATTGGCTTGGTAATTGAAGTTGTGGAATCTAAGATAATTTATTATTTTTTGGTGTTTAAGAAGTTGAGACGTCTATCTCTTAAAGTACAACATTCTTACACCGACAATAGTACAACTTCAATGAACATTGAACTTAATTTTATTTTTTTAAATCACTAAACGACAATCAAATTTTGAAGGAAAAAATTCAAGTCAAAAATAAAATTTTCTGTCAATTTGTTTACTGAAAGGAGAGTTAAATGAAAAAAACAAATAAAAAAATTATAAGAAATTGATGGGCACAGAGAAAGTAAACAATCACAAAACGATGAAGAGCTATATTCACTATGAAAAGACTGGGCAAACTCCAAAAACATACGCATGCTGCTTTCAATCAAGCACGAACAGCTTGTTGAATCCCCTCTGTTGCCTCTTCTGCTTTGGGAAAACATAAATGGCCATCCTTGGCCAGTGGTGAGAGCCAAACGTATATGTCCATATGCATCCAATATCTTGATATTTCGTTGCATAAAGTCGGGCATGAATCACCTACTGAAGGGCAGTACTTCAATTTGTAAATAATTGTTGCCGACCTTCTCTATTTTAAACCAATTCATCCGAGTATCCGGACCTCGATTTCCGTTAGTCCCTCAATTGACACGCACCATTTTCCTGTCAAATCGTCGTAATCGGTGAGCGTCCACAACCGTTGATGTTTGGCAAATTTTTTCTCTAAGTGGAATGAACTCTATGTTTACATCGAGGATAGGCGGACAATCCATCACCGGGTTTGCATTAGAGAACATCACGGGAGTACCGTAACCGCCAAATCGTATCGGAACACCGCTCTCCGGGCATGGTTTGCTAGACCAGCCTATGTCAAGCACTGCACCACTGGGACCTGATATCGCTGACACGATGTAGTATTGGACGCCTTGCGGAGCTGTTCACCATCAGTGTCGAGCACAGGATCATTTGTAGCGTTTTCAGTGTCGAGCACAGGATCATTTGTAGCGTTTGCCACCCAAACAAAAAGGATGACTGCGTGATTGAGAAGACAAAAAGAAGGAACACTGAAGCTGTTGTGGTTCCATGGTTTGCAGACTGTATTTGTTATGTGTTGGTTTAGTTTTAATGGTTTTAATTCTTATTAAATTTAGTTATATGTATTTTTTTAAATCACATAACCCCACCGCAACAGCTTTTATATATATATATATATATATATATATATATATATATATATATATCTTATATATATATATATATATATATATTATTTTTTGTCTTCTTATTTAACTAAGCATGTGTATGAGTAATACATTCAAACTAATTGATTACAAAATATTATTTTTCCTGTGTATAGAATACTTAGAATATATATCCTACAAGTTGAGTTCCTATATAAGTGTGTTGTTTATGTTATATTGATACCCAAAAAAGAGGATTCTCTTATTTAATTATATCATCATTTGAAAACCTTAGCTTTTTTTTTCTTTTTCAATCCGTTAGTCTTATTTTTTCTTTAAATTTAATGTTGATCCTCAATAGTCGATATTCATTGTTTTTTATTTTATTTTATTATATTGTATTTTACTTTTTTTTATTTTTTAATAACTTTACATTTATGATATGTTTTCTCTATCTTTTAATATATTTTCGGTTGGTTGAACATTATTTTTGTTTATCCTTTTTCTCAATGTTGGATTTGATATCGTCACGATTGATCAAGATGACATTTATTTATTATCATGCTGATCTTCTTTGTTTTAGACCCTCGAATTGGATTTGGATACATTATTTGCATTCATGAATAGTTTTTTTCACATCGCTCGACTTTGATTTACGATTTTTTGGTGTCTTTCAATAGCTTGATCCCCCTTTGTGATTTGTTTGCCGATGTCAGTCAGATCTATTCGTATATACCTTTTGCTCAAGTTTATTTTATTAGATTTTTTTAATATTTTCTTTGTATGATCTTTATGTGATCTTAAATGATTAGTTTTTTTATAGTTTTTGTTAGAATTATAATTTTATTCGGATTTGATGGATTTAGATTTGATAGAATCATCTTTTTATTTTGAAAATTTAGGGTTTGGGTAGGATTCCTTTTCAAGAGTTGAGTCGAATCCGATTTGGATTTAGAATGAAAAATTCGATCCAATCTGATTCAATATAAAATTATAATTATCTCTTATATATTTAGAGATAATTGTAATAATACATCTTTTATATTATTTTTTTAATTAAGTTATAATATTACATCTACTGTGTTGCATTGGGTGAGACGTGCAGGAGTAAGTTCTGGTAGTTAAATTGCTATGGAGTTAGTAATATCCACAGTTCCATCATTACAAACTAAAAAAACAAGATATAAGTAACATAAAATAACATGCACACCGCACTTATACATGAATTTAGCTTGTAGGATATATGTATTTTAATATTATGCACAAAGGAATGATAATATTATTCTCTCTTCAATTTGAATGCGTTACTCATACATATGCTTTAACAGACAACACGAAGACAAAAACAACAATTAAAAACACAAGACACAACGTGAAAGCTGTCGCGGTGGGGTACTTCCATTTTAAAATTTTATATTTATATTCTAATCAATTTTGAAATGTGGTGTATTATGTATATTCTAATGAATTTTGAAAGTTCAAGGGGCCTTAAACCTCTACAAATTGGCATGGTGAAGAGCTTCAAATACAGCCTGCAAACCATGAAAACCACAACAGCTTCAGTGTTTCTTCTTTTCATCTTCTCAATCACACAGTCATCCCTTTTGTTTGGGGTGGCCAACGCTACAAATGATCCTGTGCTCGACCAATGGAGGGAGAGCTCCGCACCGGCGTCGAATACTACGTTAAGTCGGCGATATGGGGCGCCGGTGGTGGAGGGCTTGCCATAGGCAGGTCTAGCAAACGACCGTGTCCGGAGATTGTCGTTCAGAGACTATCCGACATGGACAACGGTATTCCCGTGATATTTTCTAATGCGAACACCAGCGACCGCGTTGTCCGACTATCGTCCGACGTGAACATCGAGTTCTTCCCCCTGAGGGACAGACTCTGCATGAAGTCAACGGTGTGGAAGTTAGACAACTACGACGGTTCAGCCGGAAAATGGTGGGTGTCACTGGGCGGGACCAAAGGAAATCCAGGTCCCAAGACTTTGATGAATTGGTTTAAAATAGAGAAGTCCAGCTTATTTGGCTACACCTTCAAGCACTGCCCTTCGGTTTGTGAATCATGTACAAGTTTATGTAACGAAATTGAGAGAGATTTAGACTCCGATGGAAAAATGCGTTTGGCTCTGTCCAGAGAGCAAGGAGGAATGCCATTTATCTTCAAGAAAGTAGAAAAAGCAAGAGAGGAGATTCAGCAAGTTGTTCGTGCTTGATTGAAAGCCATCGTTATATAAATAAAAAATAAGCCTTTGGGAAAGGTTTCCTTGTTTGAGGCAGCACCAAGCGTATGCTTACCTGCTTTGTACTCTTTTTCAAGTTAATCAATGAAGCCATTTAGTTGTTTATATCTTTTGCTCCCACTGATTCTACTATTACACTCCTTAACTTGGATACCATACTTTTTAGTTAAAAACACACAAATTTGCTTTGATTGGTGTAGTCTGCATTAGACGATGTTCTCGGGATCAACACAGACTTTCTAAAAAATTCAAACACCAAATATTTAAATAAAATATTATTTTTTTAAAGGTCGTGAATTTAAACAACGATGTGTGTTTTTAAGGTATTTGAATTCTTTTATTTAATGCTCCATTTGTATTCTATAACATATTAGAATACCCAGAGCAAATCCACCACTTCAAAGCAAATGGCATGGTGGACTTATAATATCTAAATTTAATTATAAAAAGGTTTTGAAATCAGAGCCAACTCGTTGGTATTATCCAAACAGCGTGCGTACTTCCCTCGGCAAGGCTTCTTCTCTTTGTTTAAAGCATGGTGGTTGGCGTTATCGAAAATCTAAAAAAAAAACAGTTTAATTTTAGATTAAAAAACGGTAGAATTAAGCATTATTAAAAATGTTATTGAAAGACAGTAATATTTTAGTTTGAATATAATTTAAAATATTATATTTTTATAATACTTTATTAACTGAAAATATTACGCGGAAGATAACATTTTAATTTCAACCTAAAATATTATAAAATCGAAAATATTATAGAAAATATAATATTTTAAGTTATGTTTAACGTAAAATTTATAATTTTTAATAATATTTTTTACAACGCCCATTTCTACCATTATTTTAACTTTAACTTATTAGGTTGTACCCCTTGATAATGTGTCTTCTTACTCTATTCTTTTTTTTGTCAAAATATATCCATTTTTATAATAATTATTAATAATATATTATTTGCTTTGTCTTCTTACTCTTTATCTTGTAGCCAAAATAAACTGCTCCCAGAAGATTCCTTGTGCGAAGCAATATTTTTTTAAAATAATAATAATATTAAATCTTGAATGAATTTAATTTTATCAGTTTCGAAGTCACTTATAATAATTCAAATATATTGAGTTTTAAAATAGTTTATCATGTGATTAAAATCATTATTAATTGTTTTAGATTATGTATGATCGAATATTCATAAATTTGATCTACGTTTACATTGAAATAATGATCAGATTAGAAAATTAATTACGTATGAGGAATGTTGAAACACTCCCGCAATGCCCGAGGTTGATATATGAAAGGATTATGTTTCCTTAAAAGAAAATTGTCACAATTACGGGATTAATTAAAAAAAGGAAAAAAATATGTGAAAGTGAAGAACATAGTCAAAGGTAGAATCAAATAAAAAAATAATCAGTAATTAAGGTTAAATTTATTAATTAATATTCGAATTAAGGATTAAACTGAAGTTATTAACAAATTTAAACTAATTTTATTAACCAATTCTAAATTATGGACTAAACTAAATTAAGTAAGAAAGTTAAGTCAAATTTATTAACTAATTTTAGATTGTGGACTAAACTAAATTAAGTAAGAAAGTTAGGTCAAATTTATTAACTAATTTTAACTTGTGGACTAAACAAAATCTAATTAAGAAACAAGATTAAATTTATTAATCAATTTTAATTTTGGGAACCTAGTCGAATAAGTTCTTAACTTGGGCAATCTCTAAACTCCAGTTGATCTGTTGTAAACTTGAGTTGAGCTTCCTGCTTTTGTTCATTGATTCCAACTGCTTCATGTCTTTTCTCCTTTCTCATAGTTGCTTAATACCTTTTTCATCACCATCATCGGCTGATTATGAGATGGACCAATGCTTGGGGGTGCTCCCATGGATTCCTGGTTGTCCTCCTAACAACCCTAGTGTCTGATGTGAAGTTAAAGTATCATCTTCTGAATCTAATCCAAATTGGATGCAGAAACCGACACTTGATTCTCATTTGCAACTGTAGAACCAAAGTTGAAACCAGCCTGCAAGCTAGCCAACTGCTGATTTTTCATCACTGATACTGAATTTGTATACCAGCTGATGCTTTAATCCACTCTGATGCTTGACCTATAAACCCTTGTTGCGTGGGAACTGAACTTAAAAGATGGTGTTCTGAATCAAAAGAGTCGGTATTTTTACAAATTTCTTTTATGAATTTTGAGACTAATTTCTCAGTGTTCATGTTGAATTTTTTCTAATAAAATTTGGATTTTTAGGTAATTTCTTGACTTTTTTTATAAGTAATAATTTTCCCTATCTTTTATACTGTTACGTTTAGTTTCTGACTTAAGTTTTGTAAAGGGTTCATTTATATGGTAACTCAAAAGTTGATTTATGATTTATACCTAAATCATTTGAGAAACAAATTTGAGAACAGAAATTAAAAATTGGTAAATGATTTAATATTTTATACTAGACCTACATAGCAAAAAGTAAAATTTTATCTTATTAATTATTTTTTAGATTCAATATATTATTTTTTATTTTTAAATGTTATTCAAATAATTGATATGCATGTTAACAAAATTAAAATACAAAATTAAAACGAATTGTAATAATATACCATGGAACCCTTAGATTTCCTTTAAAACAAAACTATAATAATAAATTTATCATTAATATTCATTTAAAAAATAAGGAAATCAAATATATAAATATATATCATAATCAAATCCAAATATTTTTAATTGTAATATTATTATATTATATTTTTTATGTTATAATTTTTTATTTATAAAAAATATTACAAACATAGTAAAAAAATATAACATAACAATATTATAAATAAAAATTATGGATTTGATTATGATATAGATTTATGTTTTTGCTATTTCTATTTTTAAAGAAATATTAATTATAAATTTGTTAATTTAGTTTAATTTTAAAGGGAGACAAGGTTTTTATGCTACATTTGTTAAGTCTAGAGTATTTTTAAGTGAAATAGACATCTTATTGTGTTCAAAAAGTCAAAAAAGACTGAACTAGAAATTTTAAGGTAAAACAGTCGTCGATGGGGGATCAATGGCCATTAGTGGGTGTCGACAACAATAGCAATTGTGATGAGTGACAGTCGATAACGGGAGACTTTGATCGAATTTATGAATTAAATTGATATTTTATTTAAAGCTTAGGTATTAAATGAATATATGATCTAAAATTCATTAATTAAATTAATATTTTATTTAAAGTTTAAGAATCAAATTAATCGTTAATCTATTTTATTAATATGTATCACATAAATAATTGAAGTAATGCGGACCAATATTTTATTCATATAAATTTGACAAAACGTTGTGTTCCTTCCACTATATTTTTCTAATTACCAAGTAAGTTATCAAAGTTAGTAGTCTAATACTATAACCAATGGCAGCAAGAAGTAAATAACTACATAGTTTTATTCATTTAGCTGAAAAGAGTACAAAGTCGGGCCACGAGAGGCATACCCTGTAAGCATTAGCATGCTGCTGCCTCAAACAAGGCAACTTTAACGATAGGCTGTCTCAGAATTAAGCAGTGGCCTAACCTTTATTTACTTAAAACAAATATTAAAGTAGTAATTAAGCATTAACAACTTGTCGAGTCCTCTTGTTTACTTCGTTTGCTTTGATAAATACCCATGGCCATGGATATCTTGAGCCACCGGATAGAGCCAAACGTATTTGTCCATCTTTATCAACAACTCTCTCAATTTCGTTGCAAGCAGTTATGGATGAATCACATACTGAAGGGCAGTAGTAGTTAAATCGATACGTACCATACTTGCCGGCCTGCTTTATTTTAAACCAATTCTCCAAAGTGTCGCAACCAGGGCCTCCTTCAGCCCCACCAAGTTCCACCCACTTTTGGTCGAGATCTACCTTCCACACCGTTGATGTTAGGCAGAGTCTGTCTCTAGGTCCAACGAACTTCATTTTTACGTCCGTGGACACACGGACAACATCATCTTTAGTGTTTGCATTAGAAAATACCACGGGATTACCATAGTCCCTATCGGATCGTCTCTGAACGACGATTTCCGGGCATTTTCTACCGCTCCCCCTGCCTATGGCAAGCCCTCCACCTCCAGCGCCCCATATGGCCGACAGTACATAGTATGGGACGCCTGTGACGACCTCTTCACCGTCTCTATCCAGCACAGCATCGTCTGCAGCGTTAGCCACGCCAAACAGAAAGGATGATTGTGTGATTGAGAAGACGAAAAGAAGAAATACAGAAGCGATTGTGGTTTTCATGGTTATCAGATTGTGTTTGAGATGTGTTGTGGTTTAGTTTTCCGGGCCAATTTATGGAGGTGTAAGGTCCATGAACGTCCAAAATTCATTGAGAAACGGTATCACGCATTTCAAATGCGACTTTAATTATTAGAATCACCTGCTACATGTCATGTTAAAATTTTCAATATGTATTTGAGGTCCCAATGTGTGGAATCCCAACACCTATTAATCCAAAATTCAGTGGGCGACTGTAGCATTTATTCTTATTTCTGAAGTTGTCTGCCATACACATTTATTTTTGCTTGAATTTGGTGAGCCTTTTAATTTTTGCTCTTGTGTGTATACAGAGACTGTTGAAAAGAAAAGTGAGAGCAAAACCACAAGGGCAGCTTTGGCCAATTTCAATCAATTATTCGATTGGGAGATTAATAGTTGTTCAATTAAACAATTCAAATTTTCAATATTAAATCTGTCATAATTGCCAACTTGTAATATCGGAAGAGAAATTGTACTTTTTATGTGTTTTAATTATTTGGTTTCTTTCCAACGAACCTATATAAGAGTTTCGTTAGTGAGTCAAGTAGTTATAAAAGTTAATGCATGCACATATGTGTGATTTTATTCAATAATGTGTTAAAAACAATATTTACAACCACATTGATAAAAATACATGCACATACATCGTGGGAAAAGCTTAAATGCATGTTCGCTTCGAAATCA